CCTTGAGGTGTGACTTGCCGCTACCATCAAGCAACACGCTGGGCAATAACAGAGGCGTTTTCCGTATTTGTGTCGCTCACACTGCCGATAAGGTACGCACGGTGGGTGTCCGGGGTAACATCGCCCAGAGGCAAGGACACGCCACAAGACCATTGGATGCACAGTGGCAAGTCGATCCTGATTACATCGGAGGAGTGGTCGTGACGGAAATCTCCATCTTACCATCAGAGTACGTAGCACCGACAATAGAGGCATGGACTATACATGTAGCATTTGTTTGCTGGTATTGTTTCTTGGCCATAATTTCCACGTCCAGTAGAGGTGATCTGATCATGTGTACCACACCACTCTTATATCCTGTTCCCTCGCCAGCCTCAGAGAGTACTGACTGCAACATGTTTTTGGTTATCCGTATCCCTCTTCTATCTACCTATTTCTGTGGAACATGAAGGTTGTGTAGCAGTCGTACGGAGTCTGACTGTATTTCACTGTGCACTACCTTGAGCATGTTACAGTATTCTGAGCAACTGGCTATCATGGGACTTGACAAATGCTTAGCTCCTGAATTTTTGGATTTTCATCTATTTTTTTCTTCTGCAGTGATGGGAGCGGTCACTTGGCAGTTTCCGTTGATGGTGAAATCATCTCACAAGCACAGTTTTACACTGATGTCAGCAGCGCTACTGCATCTAGGTGGCATAAACAATCTGCGCCGGATGTTTCCTTGTTGGAGCCTCCCGGCGTACACTTGAGATCCAGACCTAGTTGTTGCCATGGTACCCAGGATGAACACCGTACTGATCAGGCACAGTCACAGGAACAGCAGTATGAGAAGAATAACGCATGCCCATCGACTCCAAAATGCACCGACTGATCCGACATAGGTCTAGTTGCATAAAAGCAGAGCTCTCCTGGATGCAGATCAAGGCCACGACGAATTCATTTCCTGATTTGCCCAGGAGACAGCCGTATTCATGAAGGCTCATTGTCAACACTGTTATCATTTTTAAGATTTAGAAAATCTCGCTTTACGATACTTGAATCGATTATAATCAGAATAAATATTATAGTGGATCTAGCAATGGAGCTTGTTTCCTATTCTGGTAATGTTACATTCACATGTAGGTGCACCTATGTAATTCAGGACAGACACAGTAATCTTTTCCGTGTAACCCATTACCGGCATAAGAAAAATAGAGAAGATTTGCGTTGTTGCCCCCCCCCCCCCCCATCCCCACATACATACACTCCAAAAATCAAGTCAAGCTGCAGATGAAGACGCATAATATTAATGGTAGGATGAGGGCATAAAATCCCTAGGAAAATATGAATGCACTGCTGCTATTATACATTTCTAAGAGATTCACTGTAAGATGGAAATTCTGGCTACAATTATGCATGCTGAGCATAAAAAACACCAGTATGCAAATAGTAATAGAGAACTGTCTCCCAGACATAATGGTATCCTACAAACGCACTTGCATGGGCGCATTCCAACATTGACAATTATTATTACCGAAGTTACGTAAGAGACGGTGTGCAGTAGCGTCATGCGTAGCTCAGGTCCATCCCCCGATCCACAGCACTTTAAGGTGGCAGACTACCCAAAAATTCGCTGAAAAATCGAATTTGTAAATTCATATTGAGTGCTACGTCAGTTGAAAGAGCATGAATAGCTGCAAATTCTCTGAAAATTGTGTCCCTATCTGACCAGCCGTTCAAGAGTTATGGCCGAAAATGTGCCCTTGCAAGGAAAGATTTTTTTGTTGCATGCTGTCATTTGTTGGCAGCACTGTATTTGAATGTGAGCAGACCGTGCGCAACTTGTCGTATTATGGAAACACGCGAAAGTGTGCAGAAGTCCAAAAAAGTCCAAAAAATCACGTTAAAAAACCACGTATTGGGCTGCACGGCGGCGGGCAAAGCCCGCCGCCGTGCAGCAGGACTTTTGCCAGCACCCTCGTGACGTTGCAGATATGTGGCTTGATTTTTGTAGTTGACGTTGATTTAGTGACTTTGGCAAGTTTGAGTCGTGTCAAGAAGTCAGGTAGGATTCAGTACTAGGCAGTAGTGAAACGTGAGTGGCAGTCTTTGCCGGTTTCTGAGGGCATCCTGGATTTGGTGTGCAGCGCTGTGGAAATGGCTTGCTGTGGAGGTCCCAGCACTGGATGTTGTATCAAAGGTACGACCTCGTAGCACACCCTAAACCTAAAAAATTCAAAAATTGACTTGGGTCTGTGGGAGTCCGCGAGAGAACGCCCACTCGTTCCGTTGTGACAGATTCCAGGGCCACGTTGAGGGGCCCTACCCCACCACCCATGGCTGCTTCTGGACTTGTTTTAGGTTTGGGTCCCGCGCACGGACAGAATGGGCACGAAAATGTGAAAAAAATGTAAATGCATTTGTTTGGCTCCTGGGTGGCTCGCACACCGTGGCACTATGCCGGAAATTTGAGTTTTTCCGGCCTGGAAAGCCTGTCAGTGAGGCGCAAGAACTTGTAAATCATGTCCTGAGGGCCAGCATAGTGGCAGGAGTGTGTGGTCAAAATTTCACTCAAATCCACTGAGAAACACCAAAGTTACGGTCATTTGAATGCCATATGAAATTTATGGGTAGGCTGCCCCCTTAATTTTAAATCGTGTCTGCGCATGCATGCGTGTACGTGTGGTGCGTGGGTGTACATGTGTGCGTGTGTGTGTGTGTGTGTGTGGTGTGTATGGTCAGCCCAGCTGACCGATCACGTCAGTATAGCCAGGATCTGTACGTCACGTACCAGAAGCGAAGCTATCCGGCGGGCAATCACACATACCACATGACTGGTCACCAGCACAGCTAGATCAGAACAAGTGATAATACTTAAAGGGGAAGTCCGGTGAAAAATTTAAATTTCACAGTCCGTAGAGTTCGGGGCGCTGAGTCGAATGGTCTTTGTCCGAGGAGGCTGCGGCTTATGGTTCGTCAGATACGCCCAATCGAACATGTGCGAATTTGAGCGCGCATCACCCAGATCCAGGTGATGACGTCACAGCGTGCAGCCAGGTAGCCACACCATCTAGTTGGGTACAAAAATAGCCATATTCGGAGCGCGTTCGATTGGGGAACCGTTTATCGCAGCTTCTTCGGACCAAGACCATTCGATTCAGTGTTACAAACACTACGTACCCTGTGATTTTCAGCTCGGTAAACCTCGAGGTTATACCGTATTTTAGCCGTTTCCGAGTTGGACTTTTCCGTTAGCCCGTCTACATGGTCTATGCGCTCTGCGCTGCGTGCATGCAGTGCGTGCAGTGACTGTGTGTTATCTAGCTGTAGTGCATGCAGTCAACAAACTCATGTCACAACTCAGAACTGACACAAGACTCAGAAAACTAGTCAACACACGGACTTGACATGTACTACATGTACACTCAGTACTCGTATCAGTCGTCCAGTCATGTAGTCAGAGAACGTGCGTTTCTCCTTGCCGGTGCCGGTGCAGTGGTTGTGCTTTGAGAAAGAAAATTTTAGTTTTCCGCACCCGCGGCGCCTCATTATTTTATGCTACAGCGATGAGTGCACAACCGTGACAAGTGACAAAACAGCGAACAGCTCTCGGACCTAGAACTTTCAGATTCCATAGCGTTGCGAGCGAAGAGTCGTGCCCGTGGTTCAAAGAGCCTGCACTGTTCTCCAATTGAGTAGTCCGAAATATTCCAAGTTCGCACCAAAACATCACCATGTGGCAGGCTACTGGAGTCTAAGCGAATCTAATCGGTATGGAACAACATTTAGAGCACTCGCATCACTCTTCTCCATTTTGGCGACCCTGCTCTCCAGCGATCTGATAATTACATCAGCCTCGTCTGCAATAGCTGCTGCTTCTTCATCAGTCGGAAACTCAGTAGCGCTCACTCTTGACCGGCCCGCGCGGCCATTTCTTCAGGTGACTACCGAGGTTCTCAGCCCCAGACCGAACTCATGAAGGTCAGCCATGGCTGCATCCTCACTCTCACAAGGAGTTACATGTCTTCGGGGTCGCTTGCACCACCTAATATCAGTCGCCAAATCATTTGAAATAGCACTGACACTATTGCTTTCACGCACTCCTTTTGACCTAGCTGCACGCTATGACGTTGCAGAGGGTGTGGCGCGGCCGCATGACGTCATGGCGCAGCCCCCGAAACTCAGTTTTTCAAACGGAAATATCTCGAGAACGCTTTGTCGGAGACACGTGGGACCAACACCATTCGACTCAGCGGCCGAAACTCTACCGACCCTGAAATTTAAATTTTCACCGGACTTCCCCTTTAATAGTTGTATTTCTCGCCGGCCGAGCGCATGCGCAGCGAGATAGGCGAGAAATGATTTCTCGCGAAATATTTTTAGTTGCAAATATGGCATCTGGTGTGTTCATTATTGTCGCTTCTTTTCTTGACTTCTTCGGTCAGTATTGAGTCTCACCAGTGTCCCTGCCCTCCCACCCTTCATTTCTGTGCATATTCTCATTGCTTTTGTTATCACTCAGTTTTGGCGTGATGTGCTTGCCATGCCTACATGATGCCTAATCGCCATTGGGGATATACACCCGGTTTTTTCCCTCACAACTGCGTCCGTCGGCGCGAGGGTTTTTTCCCGGCTAGCTCGGTCCAGGAAAATGAATCTGACGGTCCCAAGTGGTTCTGCATCATGGCCTATTTCTGCTATCCACTGGCACGCCTATTCTATCTGAGACGCTCTGTTCTTAGTCCTTGCTTCCATACCTCACTCGTTATCCGGTTCACATCTGGCTGCGGCTAACTACCCTTCACTTGGTGTGTTGTCGCTATTGCTATCTGCCTCTGTGTGTGCCAGTATATGTGGAGCGATAAAGGGCTGTCTTTATGAAGTTTATGATGACTTAGGTATAAAACAAGCATATCAAGAGCACTGCGCTGGCAACTTTCCCGCAGAAATCCGGCTTGGGTGTAGCCCAGGGTAGGATCTAGTTTGACCCATGCATATACCAAGTCCACCACACAGTATGCAAAGCGTAATAATCATTATTGGCGAGATCAATTTGTATGATAATTGTTATTGTTAGCAGCAAATGGTAGTAAATAAAAAATAAGTACATGTAATTATCGGAAACCAGGTTTCAGCAGCTATTGAACACTGGATCGTGCTAAAAAGAAAGCTTTGACAGTCAATTCAGCAGTATAAATTTAATCTCTGCCTGCAGGCACACTGGTCTGGCACAGGACTACTATCAAGTCTTGCACGTAGCTGACTTATGTACATGCTAGTTAACTGTTGGCAAAAGAAAATAAACAGTAAAATTTTAAGATTGCAGAGCATAGTGATGGCAGTTAGTTAGTTTTGTGTAGGAAAGCAAAGAAAATAAAGGACGGTGGCACAGTGTTAGGTCAGTAGTTAGGTGCTGTGATGCTGGTAGTGACAGCAGTAGTGAAAGAGACAGCTGCTATGAAGCGTGTTAGCCTCAAACGGAAGACCAAAGGAAAATCAATTGGAATGATAATTATGATAGGGATGCGTTGCGAGAGTACGCCCAGCAAAGACGCACTCTTCCAACTCCAAGAAGGAGACAAGCTACCGTATTTCCCCGACTATAAGTGGAACTTGATTATAAGTCGTACTCCCACTTTACGCGAAATTATTTCAATATATTCGCATAAGTAGGATGTACATCCGATTGTAAATCGAATCCCCTTCTTAAGTGCGACTTATATTCGGGGAAATAAGGTAAGCCCCGCTGCTGTAGATGAGGGTTTTTAAGCTTGGTAGCTTGGTGTATATGTATGTTGTGGGTTGTCACCAATAAGGAAGCTCGACGAGCTATATATAATATTCACAGTCCATGAACTCAATATCGCAAACATTTCAACCTCAAGTCCTGTACGGTAGAGTCGTTGCTCCACGGTAGCGTCATCACGTACGTATATTCGGCCTATTCAGTGGCACATAATGGTACCCTCAGCATGTCAGCTGCAATTCACAAAACAGGTAAAGGCAGACAACAGTGTCACTTTCGCCTGGAAGTACAACAAAGATGCCGGCAGAGGGTACAGGGTACTTATCAATTGCAAAAAGGATACTGAGCCATCAGGCACTGCTCAGCTAGAAATTAGAAACAAAAAGAAGATAGATCAACCTGTATCATAGACACTTGCGGTGTAAAAGCACTTTCAGGACTTAGAGTAAACTTTGTGTACCATGAAGAACCTAGCTAAGAAGTTAGACAGCCGCACGGGGATTCCTGTATACATGTACAAAAGAACAAGAGGTGTGCACGTAAACCGCGGACACTGTTCTCACCTCGCCAGCGATTTCTCCCACATCAATCATGGCAGCTCGTTTCTTCATGGTCGCAGCCATCAAGAACGGATGTGTTGAACCCTTCAACTTCAAGGAACCTGCAGTGGTGGAAAGGACACAAAACAGAACATTAGCTTATCAAAATTATTTTTCATTAGTTGAGGGTGCTATTCATACATCTTTTTTGAAGCAAATGACAATGTTTCTGTAACCAAAAGCTTTGCCACAGCTTTGATCACCATAGGCCGCACTTCCTAAAGTCACCTTATTTATACCCATTGCTTCCCTTTCCTTGATAGCATTTCCTCGTAATTGTATGGCCATGCATGGCGATACTTAGGGGCTTCAGAGGCAGGGCTCAACAGGTACATATCACACTAACTACAACTGATCCGGCCAACTTAACATGTCTAAGCGTGCAATAAATACAGTTCATATGCATCATACTACCGACAACTATTCACACTGTTGAATGCCTCCACCACTGTCAAATCACGTTACATAGATTGACAAGTGGTTCAGCCAACACAGGAGAGAGAGAGAGACATACGATTATCTACGTTCCACGTTTCTTTACATGTTCCTAAGAATGGGTTAAAAAAAGTGATAACGGGAAGAATGGTGTGGCCAAATTAACCAACTACCCTGGCCTCTACACCGCCGCAATACTGCACGCACTGGGAGCGTTTGGTGTCAGTAAGGCCAATACATGATGATAATACCGATATGGGCTATCTAAACGGTAGGCATCATGTTTCATTGCAACAAGACAAGTTTCATGAGTAGTAATCTCACCATCTCCAGCTGGCGTTATTGTAAACATGGACCTCTGTTCCTGAAGAGGCACATCAAACTTGATATAGGGCTGCTCGCCTGCAGCCAACACGCATGGCCACCCTGGACTTCCGTTGTAAACACGTAGGGGGTCTTCCTCAGAGTAACGAAGGGTTGGTGCTTCAAACTTTAGCATGAGACACTACAAGTAACAGAAAAAGAGAATAGCAAAAACGGAGCATCAGCAATCGAATCGAATTTTTGAGTGAAATTCGAGAATCGTCACGACAGGCACTCAAAGAGTCGAAACTAGGGCTTCTTTCAACTGAAAAAGGCCCGCAAACAGAAAAGTAGTTTTGAATGCAGCTCGAGCGCTCCATGTACATGGAGCAGTGGTCTTGCACGGAGCTCCAGTACATGATGGAATGGTACTCTTATCGGTGTACCTGCACAGCGCTCCAGTGCAGTACATGGAGCAGTTGTTCTAACACACCATGCACACGGCGGAGTTGTGACCTAGCCAAAGTAGCCACCAACTAAGGCTACTTTTCTAGCAGAGCCTCGCCAGAGCGAAAACGGTTGATGGCAGTCGCTTCATCAAGATCAGCCAAAGAGATCCGATCGCCAATGGCCTGAACCAGATGAAGCATCTGTCGCTTCGCGTCATCCTCAACGGACGCGAGAAACAGCAGGAACCCCGTTCGATTCAGGTGATCTTCATCAGGGAGGAGAAGAAGCGAGTGCAACCAACCACTTTCCTGCTATTCAAAGCTTACAATCATACTCTTGCTATAATGCAACAACCACAGCGCATCTCAAAATATTTTACTTTCTCACGCTCGAGAAGAACTACAGACTGCAGTCAGTACTTACTCGAGTGACGGAGTCAACAATAATGCTGCTACATGCTGAACCTCTTTTTCATTAGAATTTTCGCACTGTCTTTCGTTTTGACACATCCGTAATCGAACCAAAAATTCGATTTGCTGATGCTCCGTAGAGACTATTCATTTTCGAATTAACACAAACTAGTTTTCCACAACGGTATGGTACTTTATTTATTGCAAGAACATTGTCTACACACAACCACATTCTTATATTCTCTCGCATGCACAAATACACGGACACCAACAACCACACAAACACACATGCATGCACGTGCACACACACACGCACACAGAACGACACTATAATCATAAGGACTACCATCCAACATTCTCTCAGAAAAATATTGATTTTTTTACCGCCCGTGTGCATGCTGGCATCAAATCGTTCTTCGTGATCAATCAGGCAAATCAGGTAAATCAACAAAATCAAAAACAATTTTGGAATAGCCAAGATAAAAGACCTACCTCGTCATCTGCAGCATCAGCTGAAATCCCCAACAGTATCAGCCACTGCCAGTGAGTAAGATCATCAAACGCCAGGATGTTGGCATCCCTATAATATCTTGGAACATTTTCAGGACGGCTGGCCTTAGTAGATCCTATGGTCAACATGATGAGAGTGTCGTTTGCCTCCGACGCTGGGCTAGCTAAAACATGGAGCCATCTCGTCGATACAGGGTTATGCTGAACGGAAGACACGGGAAAACAAACATCGTGCCATAATTAACAGGTGCCTTAGCTATTGTGTGAGCAGGGCATATCTATTGGCAAATCAGGTGGAAAAGGAAACATTAGGGTGACAGGCCCAAAGAGTATTGGGCCCTGTATCATAATTTAATGGTCTTTGTCCTTGACTCCTAGGAAGTTCACCAATATTCCCAATCAAGCGATATCGCGCGAATTGGAGGAATTTTCAACAGGGGATAGGTACACAGCAACAGCTTTCCCAAATTGCCTTGCCATGAAATTTACAATGTGCCCCGACGTCACCCCAGACAAATGTGCCTTTACAAACCCTCTAGTAGTGATTGTCGGCTGCATTTTCGTTGCATGCACGTGCACACACACACACGCACACAGAACGACACTATAATCATAAGGACTACCATCCAACATTCTCTCAGAAAAATATTGATTTTTTTACCGCCCGTGTACGCGCATCCCAAATTGCCTTGCCATGAAAATTACAATGTGCCCCGACGTCACCCCAGACAAATGTGCCTTTACAAACCCTCTAGTAGTGATTGTCGGCTGCATTTTCGTTGCATATCATGAAAAAACACAAAAACAACAAATGAGACGGGGGGGGGGGGGGGGGGCACCAATTTTTCACAGAGGGGCGCTCGATCAGAGTAGGAGGGTGCTGCCCCCCCCCCCCCCCCCACAAGCAGTGGCTACAAGCTGAACCCTGTGATACGGTATTACCTGATGAGCTATGCATTGCAGGTTCCTCTGACTGAGGCCATTCGACTCCACTGCCCGATCTCCATCATACTACTGGAGTCAGGACTGCTACTGGAACTATACCAACTCATCACGGTTCAAGAAACGATTCGGCAGTGCATGTTCACGGGGACTTACCAGCTGGTACAGCGGGCTATGTGAAGAGCATCTGAGCATGGGGCCTACGCTCCGACTTAAACCCTCTTGGTAGGGCCGTGGTGCACGCCGAGTGGCCAAGCTAGATGGTGACCTACTAACTTCGCCCATCACCTTCCCGTCATCTTGCAGAGCCGCTTTATATTTTTTTCTGCGTTGAACAGAAAAAACAAAATGAACATGATCATTACGTACACACTAAAGTCTTTAGCACATGATTGTATTGAAGTAAAAAGAACGGCATCGAAGACAAAGCCGGCATGGTCTAGATGTACACGGAGATAGATCGACAGAAGACATGAAGTAGACCAAATATCTTGGACGCGGGATATTTAGTAGGTCAGCTTTGTAGGATATCTATCCATTTTGACAAAACCAGTCCTGCTTCACCATGTTCACTGTCCCGAGGTCGCACAACTGAGTAGCTTCGAACATCGTCATCCAAGGAACGAACAGGAAAAAGATGTTCAAAATGCCTAGGAACTAATAAGACATCCTTTCGTTCCCGCCACGACTAGTCTACTATGGCCTTTACTTAGTGGGTCGCCCATTGCTACCTCCTTTACCCTGGATTACCATGATTACTACTAGGCAGCTCGATTTCATTGTCTTTTTTCACCAAGCATACCCGGTAGATCTGCCCGCCACACGGCGCTCACAGTGTGACTGTGATGATTATAACCTGTGCTCAATGAAACCATATCAATGCTGAGCGTCAAATCATTGTACTTGCGCTTTAGCCTAGTGATAGGCCATTATTTGATGATATCGTGATAGGAATCCATAACAATAAGCGGAAGGCTCCACTCAGACGTTTGGGCCTTCGCCCACCGACTTCTCAAGCCTTTCAAGACACAGTAACACGGATCCTCTATGGACTGTCGATAACACAGGAACTACATTTATGTCTACCCAGTAGATCTACTGCTGGTACTGGCTGTAAACACAGCGAACAAACATTCGAGAGCTCCCCTCACCTGAACCGCCGTCAACAACCTTCGTCACAGACTGCGAAACATTTCGACCCCAGTCCTCTTTCTATTCAGTATTCTAGATCATCAGGCTTTTTTTAGCCGTGCTTTTCCGCACTACGGGGGTGGTGACGTAGCGGGCTTGCAGCTCTCACTGTCTCAGTCTAGTCTGCAGTGCACTGCGCTGCCCGCTGCGGCTGGGGCGCCTGGGCAGCCAGGCTAGGCTGGGGAGTACGACTGGGGTTCAGTGCAGGAACACGCGAGAATGGCCAAGAACGTAACGGTTACGTTTGTCACATGTACAAAGACTGACTGAGACTGTCAGTACTACAGTAGTGACCGTATACGTACCGCCGTCACTGGCCCGTCAGCTAGTCAGCTCAGTAAGTACAGTCACAGCGATCATGACGTAGTCATGACCTAATCTTTACGCAGCCTATCGGTTATCATGGTTATTGGTCAGTTCTAAAGTGCTAGTGCTAAGTAACTTCGCGTTGCCAAGAAGTAAGTAGTTGTGACATCAGACTTCGACGCCGGATAAACCTCCCTGGCCTCAGACTCAGTGGCCTGGTGCCTGGCTGTAGCGGAATGATGACAGAGTTATGATGACAGTGTAGATGTTATGGCCCTATGGGGAAATTATGGTCCTTCGAAAGTCTTGTGGCTTGCGACTAACCATGCCTTGATTGCAGTAAAAAAAGATAAGGGATTGGGCACGCTCTTTACTTCTTTGACTTTAGTGCCGGTGCATTGGTTCAGTGGCTCTTCATGAATACCCCACATGTATGTCATGTAGGGAATGTACATGTACATTCTCTACATATACATTCCCTACATGACATACATGTACATGACTGTATGATTGTACCGTTCACGCAACTACTAACTAATAATACTTGCAAGCCTTGCTATGCTTGTTTGAAGACAACAACGCACTGTGTCAGTGTCTGTGTGTCCTCCGCCTTTTTACCTGCTATTATCTTCAAAACTGTATGTACGATACTACTTGTGCTCCTTTGCACGTTCTAGGAGTCCACTCCATCATTTTACAGACTGCTGGATACAATAATGTTATTTCTTCAAGGTTGCGAGGGAAGACTGTCCATTCGCTATCATTGCCTTCGGCAATGGCGATGTTCGCGATTCAAGGTGGAGGTCTTTTGTATTCTGTGTGTGCGCGTGTGTACGTGTGTGTGTGTGTGTGTGTGTGTGTGTGTGTGTGTGTGTGTGCGTGTGTGTGTGTGCGCGCGCGTGTGTGCATGTGTGTGAAATAACAATGCGCTATCATTGCTACGTAAGAAGGAATACAATACGTTCAGCCATTATTATAAACCAACTAGTGACCATGGTCCATGGTGACTCATACTCGTAGACTGCACACAGCTGTTGCCGGTACTTACCGTTACGATCGGATTCTATCCGTTTACGGTTTAGTCAGCCAGGAGCTGTTCTCTGTGCAAGAATACTTCGATGGTGGATTCGTAGCTTGTTTCAGACTCTCTCGTGGATTCGCTCTCCTTGCACCTGGAGGGAAATGGGAAAAAGATGTCGAGCAGGCCGCGAGCGATTGGTTTTTCTAGTGCAGGATCGCTACGCGCAGTGACGCTCAGCGCTCGCACCCGTTCTGCGATCAACATGAATTCTTCAGGTATTACTACAGTCATTGTACATGTACATAAATCATTGTACTGTACTAACTACCGGCCCACTACATAGAGACTGTAAGTGTAACACTAACAGACGGCTAGCATGCTACAGGAGCGATCATCTTGTCATTCTTGATGAGGCCACAAGCGTTTCGATACGATAGCCTGCTAGCAGGCTATCGTATCGAAACGCTTGTGGCCTCATCAAGAATGACAAGATGATCGCTCCTGTCACAAAATAATTTGTTTTTTGATGCGGGACACGCGCACGCATATTCGCGGTATATAATAGCCTCATACATACAGTCATTGTCATACCGTGATGACCATGATGACTGCTCAGGTTTCCCGGGGATCCCCTGACAGTTGGGTTTTGGACAAGAATTATACACGCCTAGGTACTGCCAAGGGGGATTTCCCACCAATGACCATGCCGGCTTTGTCGCTGTTCGACATGTTCGTGCAGCTTGCACTTGTTGCATGCAGCCTTGCAGGTCGCCCTGCCTAGCCTGACCGGTGACCGCACTACTGCTGTAGTACTGGCCCCAGCCCAAGCCAGCTGTGCTGTTCGGACCTGGGGAAGGCATGCAGGGTAGTCGACCGTGCCAAAAGCTATTCCAACGACGTTCTGCTCGCGCGCTGGCACTAGGCTGAAGTCACGAGTTCTTTTGACACTTTTTGGAGTGCTGGCCTGTTCTACTAAAAAGCTCCATATTCCTTGTACGTACGTACGGACGTACACTGTACAGTCACGAACAAAGACTGATTGTCATCGGCTCATACGGAAACTTAGTCATAGTAGTAGCGGGACACGGCTATTGAGTATTGTTGCCACACCAAGCAGGCCGCGACTTCATGAACTACAGCAGTAGTAAAGGAAAGGCGCAGAGTTTGAGACGGTTAGTCCGCTTTGAACCTTGCCACCAGCAAGCCGAATCGAAACCTAACGTCTGCTGAGGGAGCAAAGACCTCTCAACGGTACACGATGTGTAACGGAGCAGCGCCACCAAAGTCGGAATCAAGTCCGTTCGTCTGCCCTCCCTCGGACATACCACATCCAGGAGGTACTTCACCGTGCGTCGATAGTAGTGAGAAGGAAGAATGTTCCGGTGAGAGAAAAGAGAGGTGGAATGGTGGAAGTTTTCATTTTCACTATAAATTATTTATTTTTGGGGTCCTGTTTTTTTCTGGAAAGCTAGATTCCTGTGATTTATTTCAATGGATAGATATTGATATGATGTGTGACCGTCACCATTAGGGATTTGGTGACTTGATATCGTACGTAGGCCTTTTCACTGCATAAATATTTATAGTCATGTAGATCTACATGAAAATATGAATGCTAAATATAGATTATAATAATCATATTGTGTGTATGTGTCTGGACGGACGATACAATGCCAGCATTCATGATTTCAGTCGCATGTGACATTGTCATTCGCAAACATCACCCTTCAACGCCATGTCTTGTTGTTGCCTCGGGAGGATGGTACTGGTGGTACCGGTGATGGTGATGATGATGATGATGAGGAGGAGGAGGAGGAGGAGGAGGAGGATGATACAGGCACCTTCTGGAGTGATCGCATTCGGCAACAAGTCGCCGATGAACCCCATCTCCATATTGGTTAGTTCTGCTCGTGATTTCCGCTCAATCGCTGGGAGTGCCACCCTGAATACGGTAATGCGGTCAGTCTATGCTGGGAAGGGGATAGCGTGCCCTGTAGAGCAGAATTCGGCGTGGAACACTGCGGTAGCCTTCTGCGTTTTCTGGAAAATGCTGCAAGACAATGGCTGAATGCTTCTCCAGTAACATACCTTGCGCTGCGAAAGGGTCAACGGGTGAATGAGTTATAGATCAATGCACTTTGAAGCAAGCTGAGGAGTGAAAACTGGATTCATGAAGCTAACTTTCTTCGCCGAGGCGACTGCTGCTCATTGAAGGAATAGCTTCCTGATTACAGAGAAGGACGAACTAAACGCGGCTTTCGGCGTGTTCTTTTCAGGAACAAGAAGATAAGCGAGGATAAGGATGCACCTTTCTATTCGTCTTTGGTAATAATGGCAATTTGGCAACCCGGGGCCAGTTGCTGCTATTACATTACAACGCATGCCGACCTTGCGCCTCCTTAAAATTAGGTTATCAGAACCAATCTGTACCTAACATACCATTACAACCTTTCATCTGATCAAGACAAGAAAGAACACAATAACGTCAACGTGTTTAGAGTTATTTTTGAAGATGTACATGAGCAGTGGAAAGAGAAGCTAATGTGATGACTGTTTTGGCTGTCGTTTTGTCTCTTTTTCCAGGGAAAACCTTCGTCACTGTTTCTACGGAAATGAGAGGAGAGAACAGATCCCGGCTTGTTCTCACTTTTGCCCTCGCGTTGAAGTCAACACTGCTCCAAGGCTTTCATGAACAGAATGATGCCGTGTACGCATGTGAAACTGATGAAAAACTGGACATTTTTGAAGTCCGCAGCAACGGCACGCACTTGATACGCAAGAAAGTCGTCTTCAGCGAGTGGAAAATTGGCCTGTGTCACGTCAGGCCGACGGCAATCTTTCAGATCCCCGTCATTAAACCGTAAGTCGTGGAACATGACAAGACATTTTTCGTGCATGATTACTGTTTCAAACCACTCAGGGCATGGGACTGTGGGTGGATTTCATTCCTGTTACGTAGAAGTGCACCCTATGAAAGCATGTATTTGAGAACTCGCAAAGGACAAGAGGAGAAAAGGTGCTAGAAATGTGCTGGGTTTCAGAGGGTTAATGATAACCTATTCGTTACGAGTAAAGCATTGGATGTTCTAAAGTGTACAGTAAAACAGTAAGAGTGTTGAGATTTTTTTTACAGCGTACTAGATATAGATTTTATTTATTTATTACTTTTTTCAATGCAAATGTAGCGATGACGGTAGGCTTGAAGTGGTCATGGCGTTCAATGGTAAACCACTTCACCACATCTCGATGAATCTTGCGGAAGAGTCCACGAACAGTGTGAGCTGGCGGAGGCGAGAGGAAATTCATCTCAATCTTGTAAGGCCTTGAGAGATTTTCATTTCCGTGTTAGGAATGCATTGGTCGGTGTTGGTGTTTGCTCAAGGGGTTCTAAGATTGACTCTAACACATTTTGTCAGCATAAGCATTGTGTAGACTACTAGTTATCCATATACACCTACTATGTATTATTTTATTTAAGCAATGAATGATAGTAGTTCGAGGAAGTTTAATTAATATTGGCTGCATATAGCATCATTTTGTCTTTGATTATAATGCTACATACTTTGATGATTCTGTTGCAGCTGAACATTCCTGCTGATCCTGCGGCTGATATTCCCACGCAGGCATGCCGTGGTGTGGAGCTGTCCAGGAGAAATCAACTTAGAAATCCCGTTATATCATTATTGAGAGACATCAAGAGCCACTGAGTTTGTTGAGCAATGACCTGAGTTCAGTTTTACCTTGATCACACATTACGACACTGACAGATGTACAGGTACGATGGGCACCGTTGCTGGAGCTTGCGCAGCTACCATATAAATAAGCTGGTGCCCTTGATTGGCATGCATTTTTGTACTGTTCCTTAGCAACGCTTAATTAGAAGTTACAAGCCATATTTTTCAATTGTGCATTAAAAAAATAGAACGTTCAGTCTGTACGTTACTCTTGGCAGGATCCATACAAATTGCACATTTCGCAAATTGCTAGCCTTATATGATCTTTACTCCCTATTACTTGCCCCAATCTGTCATGGTGGCAATTATTATCATGTAGCACATACATGTATGCAGTTCCATTTATCATTGAAAATACACCTGGACGAGTACAGTTGCTCTTCTAAGTTTTATACCCAAGACAGCTATTATGCTGTGGAACACCACTCACTTCCTTGCTTACTACCATACATGTGCGTGCTACTTTTGAATTTTTTTTAAAGTGTTTACAAGTACCTGTGCGTACGCTTGTTTTTGGTGGTATGACAATTATCATTACACAAGTCTTATGCTGGAAAATACAAGTACAGGCACAACCCAAGAAGGAAAAATGAATCAGAAACAGAGGAAGTGTTCTCCTTTTAAAAATAAGGCTCATGAACACACACCTCGAGCGTTGCCTTGGGAACCACTTTGCTGATGAAAATGTATCTACACTAGGCTATAGGGCTAGGGAGGGCCCAAATATGCTCAAAAATTTCGCATATTATGCTTTTCGCATATTGGTCACTTGCTTCAAAATATGCTTCGAAATCACACAAAAGCAGAAAAATATGCTGGAAATATGCTTGAAATACGAACTGATATCAGTGATAATTATGCGAATTCTTTGCTCCTTGAGTCCTTGTAGCAAAATATGCCACATTTGGTACAATATGCTAGATTTGCTACTTTATGCGATCTTGAGTCGCGGACACTCTCTTCTCGGGTCAAATTTTCGCCCCGTGTTTGGATGAGCATTTTCCTTCCGGGCTAAGTTTGGAAGTGTTCCCTGACCGAGCGTGCCGTGGTAAGTTTCCTTGTCCATTTCCGCAATCTGCCCTATAATTATGCGAATTCGTTGCTCCTTGTAGCAAAATAATATGCTACATTTGGTACAATATGCTAGATTTGCTACTTTATGCGACCTTGTGTCAAAAGGACCAAAATATGCGAAAATATGCACAAGCATATTCGGGCCCTCCCTACGCATAATGGTAGGGTGAGGGCATAACATTCCTTCGGGAAAATATGAATGCACTGCTGCTATTATACACTTCTAAGAAATTCACTGAAAGTTGGAAATTCTGACTACAATTATGCATGCAGAGCATAAAAAACAGCACTATGCAAATAGTAATAGAGAACTGTCTCCCAGACATAATGGTACCCTAAAAACGCACTTGCATGGGCGCATTCCAACATTGACAATTATTACCGAAGTTACGTAAGAGACGTTATGCAGTAGCGTCATGCGTAGCTCAGGTCCACAGCACTCGTGTCTGCGCGTGCGTGTGTGTACGTGTGGTGCGTGGGTGTACATGTGTGTGTAGTGACACTTATATCAGATCCACTCTGATTTAGCCACCCACACTAGTAGTAGCAAGTATTACCTTCACTGGGGGCAGGGGTAACTGCAGTTGGATCCCGGGACGGATACCCTGATGCCGCAAATCCTTTTTCTGCACCTTGTCCTCACCCACTTACTGAGGTGTGGTGAGCCCATAAGTGGGATCATTTTGAAGTCCACCCAGAGTTTTGGAGATTTCAGGGCCTAGGGGGTGTCGGTCGTTGGGCGGTTCATCTTCCCAAGATTCCTTTTGAGTCTCTCTCCCCTCTCCTGGTGAAACCCGCGCGACCAGTTTTGGCAGTGAGCAACAAGTACAAGTGTGTGTGTGTGTGTGTGTGTGTGTGTCTATACTCCTCGTCGTTTCGTGAAAGTACGTCTTGTGGAGCCCTCGTGGGACGTTCGGTGCCCACCCTCCAGCTCAAGATTGTGCTTCCCTGGTGCATGAAGGCCGAAGCAGTACGCGTGCAGACGTTATTGTTGAACAGAACATCATGTTCACATTAATTTTGTTCCTTTTTTCAGTCGTTGCATGTTATACTTATAGTGGACCTACAGCAGACTGCTCATCTGGTTTGTGATAATTCCTTCCTCTGTTTGTGAGTCCCTTTCCATCAATATGGCAGCTTGTTTTGATTTCCTTTTCTTTTTTACTCTCTTTCTCACTCCTGTGTGCAGCCACACCATACGTGCTCCCACCCCTAACACACCTCAGTCACATGCACACCCACATACACACGCACACAGCAACAACAAACAGCCTCTGCGGGGACAGCAGCAACAGCAAGCAAGTGTATTGTCAACTCACGGCGACAATAGTAAACAGCTTCAACTCATCTAGATCATCAAAATTAGTGCAGTCTGCAATCTGAGCACACCGCCAGCGGTGTGCTACGGAAATATCCAAACGACTCAACAAAATAACCATTCACTAGGGCGGGCGGGCATGGGCACTACACTTGCAAAGCAAGAAGAAAAAGAATGCCGCAGCCGGAGCGCATGCTCCTAATATCTTGCATTTGCGAGCAGCAAATGTTACGTCATGCAAAAGAAAGACAAAAAAGAACTACATTTCTCGTTTCTTTCCTACGTCAGCCAACGAGAAATGAGGCATTTCTTTTTTACTCTCTTTCTCACTCCTGTGTGCAGCCACACCATACGTGCTCCCACCCCTAACACACCTCAGTCACATGCACACCCACATACACACGCACACAGCAACAACAAACAGCCTCTGCGGGGACAGCAGCAACAGCAAGAGCAGCAAAGCATAGCTAATGGATGGCCAGTGCCCTTGACACTGAGAGCATTGCTGAGAGTGACTCCTTGAAGTACATCCGCATGGATGTTTCGCTTCTCCAGCCGCCCTGACGTTGGATCAGTCTATCCGGGACTCCTGCTGCCGCGGCCACCGATGCTCCCCCAGAACGCAGGCTATGCAGCCCAAATGCGCTTGGGTTGAAATTCGCTTGGCACAGCGCGTCCCGGATCAGCTCTCGGGCACGGCTGTAAGACATCTGGTCCCGGACAACTTGACTAGCGTTTCCTTGCCGAATACAGCCGAACAACTTCTGGTGGCCTTCGTAGCCACCTCTAGACAGCAGTCGCTCTGTTAGAGCCACTGGGCATACTGCTCCATGCCATCTTGACAGCAGCACCCAGTTACCTTGGCGCAGTTGATCATTTTTTCTCACTTCGAGAAATAGTGCCATGTAATCTTCCTTGATTTCGATCTCGTCGACGTATATGTTTGACAAGTCGTTCCACCGCAAGAGCCCTGCGAAGCCAACGGTCATCAGAGTCGCTGTCTGCAAGTTCTGCAGTGATTCATTGCGCAAGAGCCTGGTAGCAACTTGGTTTAGCATCTGCTTCGTCATCGGCCTCTTCCGGTTCTTCGGCGCCGCCAGCAGTCGTTTGGCGGCCTGGACTAGGTTCCGAACCTGTGCGTTGTCTGTGGGGTCCGGTAGGCCTCGCACCTTGTGCGACCAGGCCAACGCGCAAATAGCGGATGTTATTGGTGACGCTGTCCGTGCCTCCTGGAGCAGCTTCACGACATACAAACATATGTGCCAAGACTCGGCTGGTACGCTCGGGATCTCTTGACTGCTAGCCCACTCTTGCCAGCGCTGAAATGTCGACAAATACTTGGTCACTGTTCCCGGTGCCCTACTCGCCAACATGACTTCTGGAATCTTCCTGGATAGGTTCACGAGCTCCTGGGTTGGCTCCACTTGAACCGCCCTCAGCTCTAGGCATGAACACAAGATCATAACGTGAGGCGCCTGTCAACAGAGTCATCAGCATTAGCGTCGGCTTCAGCATCTGCAGCAGCTATCAGCATCACTTGAAGAGCATTATACAACGGCATCAGCAGCAGCGTCTGCCAGCCCTGTGGGCTACAACATCGTCATCGGCATCACCAGCAGCAGCATCCATCCGCCCTGCGGATTATGACATTGTCAGCAGCATCTGCTTCCTGCCCTGCAGGCAATGGTGTTCCCTGAACACCAACATAGGACAATGCCTCGTGCACCGTGCACTCACATGTGCTCGCGCCACAAAACCACAGCAATCGTGTCAGTACGCAAATCAGCAACAGTTATTCTTCATGCACACTCTTAAAGCCAGCATTTCTGAATAATATTGCTTGCCCCCCAGCAAGTTGTAAGGGCAGGTACCTTCCAGAAATGTGTTTTCATCATGGGGTAGCACCAAAACTCCTTTTACAAATGGTTTCCAGCTTTGCCTCCCATGTAATTTTGGCCACCAATCCGCTGACACCCACTTAGGCACAACCAGTGTGCCATGGCCGCAGCACATTTTTAACATACTCAAAACTCTGGGTATTAGGTGGAACGGAGGTGTAAGCCACACCGTTTCCATTGACCAATCAACCGTAAAGGCATCGATCGCATAACATCCCGGATTCCACCACCTTGAACAGAAACGCTTTAACTGTTTCGTCCTCAGACTCGCAAAGCAATCTAGCGTATGGGGACCCCACAAACGCTCGATTTGTTCAAAAACAGCCGGGTTTAGCCGCCAATCATCTGTGTCAACTATTTTCGAATAGTAGTCCGCCAATTCATTTTGTTCTCTGGGAACCCATTCGGCAATCAGGCGGATTCCGTGTTTCATGCACACCTGGAGGATTCGCATGGCCTCCCTTTGCAAATGCTCCCTTCTGCTGCCCACCTGGATAATGTGCACAGCTGCCTGGTTATCGCTTCTGTGAATGCAGATACCTCCTTCTAGTTTGTGTGCTAATGATTCAAGCACCAACGCGATTGCTCTCAATTCTCTCCACGTGGAGCTTCTTCGGTCATTCAAAATCTCATTGGACCACTCTCCTCTGGCTACCTCGACTGCACTGCCGTCTACTAAAAATCCGCCCCAGCCAGAGTCGCTCGCATCGGACCAGGTCAGGACCGTTGCCTTTGGGCAGTTTTTCCAAAATGGTTGGCCGTGCCAGTCTTCAAAAACCGTGCTCCAAAATTCCAAATCGCACCTTGCCGCATCCGGCCATTTCACTGGGGCGTACCAAGAACTCCTAGACAATATCATGCTGTAGAATGCCCTGGTACGCAGACGGCAAATTGGCCCGAGCGCAAGCGACATAGACAACAGGAAGCCGGCTAGCCTCGCCACTTCCCTCGCGGGTGGCGCTGCTAGACCGCTCAGCCGTGCTAGGCACTCTTTAAGCCTCGCCACTCTGCGCTCTGTCGCAAAAATTCGACCCTCTTTGAGGTCAATGCGCATGCCTAGCATTTCGACCGTTTGTGATGGCTCCCACTGGGATTTTTGTTCATTGGGCACAAACCCAGCTCTCAAGAGGTCAGCTTTCATCTGTTTTGCCACCACCTTTGCCCCTTCGACAGTAGAGTGCCCACCAGACCCGTCGTCCATGTAGAGCTGACATCTTATGCCCAACTCCCTCCAACGCCGCAGTAAAACACGTGTCACTTTTGTGAAAACATAAGGAGCCGTGGAGAGGCCAAACGGTAACACGCAAAATACATAGGTTGTGATAGTTCCCTCCGCATTAAACCACTTAAACCCCAAGTACTTTTGATGCTCCTGTGCAATTTCAATGTGGTGGTACCCGCTTTTCAGGTCAAAAGTAATCACGTAGTCGCCCTTTTCGTAGACTCTTGCGACTGTTTTCAGGTCTTCCATTTTGAATTTAAATTTCGCCAGATAAGTATTGACGTACCTCAAATCCAAAATGAGTCTTAACTTTTTTCCATTATTTACCACGCCTAAAGGGCTGCAAATCATTGCCTCCTCACTCTTGACCTCCTTTATGCACCCTCTTTCCATCAAATCTCTAATTGAATCTGTGACAAAATCAAATTGGCACTGAGCGCTACTGTGATTTTTTACAGTTTTCGGCCTTGGTAGCTGCACGAACGGGAGTAGATACCCTTCACAAATGATCCTTAGCACAAATTCGGATGCCCCCATAGTTTCCCAAAATGGCTTGCACCTAGCTAAACTGCCCACCACCACCCCTTGCCCCTCTAGTTCCCCTTGATCGTCAGATTCGCACAAGCCCGCCACGCACCCCTCGTCAACAACACTCAGCACCGAATACACTTCATCATCTATTACATCAGGGGGGAGTCCGTCCGCACAGCCCTCAGAGCTATTTCTGAGCGGCTGGCTTCTGGCAGAAATTGATGAAGTGGCCTGGCTCGCCGCAACGGAAGCAGACTTTGGGGCCAGGCTGGATGGGGTTTCTCCCCGGTTGCGTCCTTGGTGCCTCGCTGGGCCCAGAAGGTGACTGCTGTTGTGGTGGCTGCTCAGCCCCTCGTGCGGCTGCTTTAGGGGTGACCACCCCGCCCCTGCCGAACCTGGATGGGATGCCCCCCCGAAAGGGCCGCTGCATGGCCACGGACTGCACGGCCGCATTCAGTCTCTTGCTCTTTTCGGCGGAGGTCACAATGCTGAGGATTCCCCCTCCCTCCACAAATTTGTTCGCCACCTCTACCCCATGGGTATCGGCGACGGCGAGCCACTCTTGCCTGTCCTCTAGAATGTCCTCACCTTTCTTTAGGTTTTTCGTTGCGCTCCTCAGCCGGTCGGATTTTAGTGCCCTCCGCACTTTCTCCAGGCGCTCCTGGAGCCGGGCGTTGACTGAGTGCTGGTGTTCATACGCCACGTTCCTCCATTTACTGGGGCCCGTTGACGTAGCACTCGAGTGATGGCGATGACGGCGAGCCTTCCTGCCGGAACTTTTTGATTTTTTGGATTTTTTGGACCTGGATCTCCGGCTCCTGGGGCTGGGTGACCGCGATGCACTGCTGGCACTCGACGATGATCTAGATGACGACGATGACGGCGACGACGACGACGATGACGGAGAACGTCTCCGTCTGCGACCTCTGCCGCGTGGGGATTCCGGGGCCCTGGCCCTTTCGAGCTCGATTTGGGCCTCGAGCAGCCTGATGCGAGTTGCCTGCTCCTCCAGGCGTGCCGCCGCCGCATCGTTCTGCTGCGCGTCAGCCTGCAGCTGCAGTCGTGCAGGTTCTGCGCTTGCAGCACGGCGGGTCCTTTTTCGGGGAGGCATGTTCCTAAAAAGGATCCTGAAAGTACGTTGAAAACAAACGGGATGAGAAATACACTACACTTGCAAAGCAAGAAGAAAAAGAATGCCGCAGCCGGAGCGCATGCTCCTAATATCTTGCATTTGCGAGCAGCAAATGTTACGTCATGCAAAAGAAAGACAAAAAAGAACTACATTTCTCGTTTCTTTCCTACGTCAGCCAACGAGAAATGAGGCATTTTTCAATTCATTTGCTGTACTTCCTGTTTTGTTTGCGCCACTGCCCCTCACCTTGCGCTCAGTTCTATGAGTGGAGGGCGGCGTGACCCCAAGGGGTAGCTGATTGATAGTAGTAGTAGTAGTAGTAGTGTGTGTGTGTGTGTGTGTGTGTGTGTGTGTGTGTGTGTGTGTGTGTGTGTGTGTGTGTGTGTGTGTGTGTGTGTGTGTGTGTGTGTGTGTGTGTATGGTCAGGACAGCAGGAGCCGCGTGACTGATCACGTCAGTATAGCCAAGATCTGTACGTGACGTACCAGAAGCGCAGTTATCCAGCGGGCGGTCACACATACCACATGTCTGACGGTGACATGACTGGTCACCAGCACAGCTAGATCAGAACAAAGGGCTGTTTTTTATGAAGTTTATGATGACTTTAAGGTATAAAACAAGCATATCAAGGGCCCTGCGCTGGCAACTATCCCGTAGAAATTAATTAGGCTTGGGTGTAACCAGGGTAGGGTTTAGTTTGACCCATGCATATACCAAGTCCACCACACAGTATGCAAAGCGAAATAATTATTATTGGCGAGATCAATTTGTATGATAATTATTATTGTTGGCAGCAAATGGTAGTAAACGAGAGAGTTTGGAAGCTCAGGGCCCTACGCTATGCTTTTTTGCCTTTATGACCTAGACAAAAAAGCATAGGGATGTTATAAATTTTTATAAATTTCTACTTTTTGTTTTTAGACATACTAGTAACCTGGGATTCGAACCCGCACTATCGCCCTGCATGCATCCCCCGATACACTTGGCATACATACTAATTCTTCCAAGTTGCTTCACGTTATGATCTTGTATTTGAAAGCCCTATTTGAATATGCATTGTGGCCAGCCGTCTTTGATTGCACGGTACGGGACAGGTACGGTCGAGGGTGATACGACACCATCTACCGCCTTGATGACGGCAAAAAAAGAATAGGGATGTTATAAATTTTTCAATTCTCCTATATTTTTCAGGCATTACCTGGGATTCGAACCCGCACTATCGCCCTACATGCATTCCCCCATACACTTCGCATTCATACTCATTCTTCCAAGTTGCTTCACGTTATGATCTTGCGTTTGAAAGCCCTATTTGAATAGTGCGGCCAGCTGTATGTGGCCAGCTGTGTTTGATGGTACGGTACGGTACGGGACAGATACGGGATAGTGCCAGGCGTGACACAAACACACAAACAAACACCAAATTAAAGCTGTGTGAACCCTGGCTAGCGCCAAACGTTACTGAAGTAACGTCTTCTGCATAGCTACGGGAATGAAAAATTAAGTACATGTAATTATCGGAAACCAGATTTCAGCAGCTATTGAACACGGGATTATGCTAAAAAGAAAGCTCTTGACAGTCAATTCAGCAGTTTAAATGAATTCTCTGCCTCCAGGCGCACTGGTCTGGCACAGGATTACTATCAAGTCTTGCGCGTAACTGACTTATGTACATGCTAGCGAACTGTTGGCAAAAGAAAATAAACAGTAAAATCTTAATCATGCAGAACATAGTGATGGCAGTTAGTTAGTTTTTTGTAGGAAAGCAAAGAAAATAAAGGACGGTGGCACAGTATTAGGTCAGTAGTTAGGTGCTGTGATGCTGGTAGTGCAGAGACAGCTGGTATGAAGCGTGTTATCCTCAAACGGAAGACCAAAGGAAAATCAATTGGAATGATATGATAGGGGTGGGTTGCGAGAGTACGCCCAGCAAAGACGCACTCTTCCAACTCCAAGAAGGAGACAAGCTACCGTATTTCCCTTACTATAAGTCGAACTTGATTAAAAGTCGTACTCCCACTTCGTGCGAAATTATTTCAATTGATTCGCATAAGTAGGATGTACATCCGATTGTAAATCGAATCCCCTTCTAAAGTGCGACTTATATCCGGTGAAATAAGGTAATCCCCGCTGCTGTAGATGAGGGTTTAAGCTTGGTAGCTTTGTGTATATGTATGTCATGGGTTGTCACCAATAAGGAATCTCGACGAGCTATATATTATAATATTCACACTGTCCATGAACTCAATATCGCAAACATTTCAACCTCAAGTCCTGTACGGTAGAGTCGTTGCTCCACGGTAACGTCATCACGTAGATCTACGTATATTCGGCCTATTCAGTGGCACATAATGGTACCCTCAGCATGTCAGCTGCAATTCACAAAACAGGTAAAGGCAGACAACAGTGTCACTTTCGCCTGGAAGTACAACAAAGATGCCGGCAGAGGGTACAGGGTACTTATCAATTGCAAAAAGGATACTGAGCCATCAGGCACTGCTCAGCTAGAAATTAGAAACAAAAAGAAGATAGATCCACCTGTATCATAGACACTTGCGGCGTAAAAGCACTTTCAGGACTTGTAGTAAGTTTTTTGTACCATGAAGAACCTAGATAAGAAGTAAGACAGCCGCATAGGGATTCCTGTATCCGTGGACAAAAGAACAAGAGGCGTGCACGTAAACCGCGGACACTGTTCTCACCTCGCCAGTGATTTCTCCCACATCAATCATGGCAGCTCGTTTCTTCATGGTCGCAGCCATCAAGAACGGATGTGTTGAACCCTTCAACTTCAAGGAACCTGCAGTGGTGGAAAGGACACAAAACAGAACATTAGCTTATCAAAATTATTTTTCATTAGTTGAGGGTGCTATTCATACATCTTTTTTTAGCAAATGACAATGTTTCTGTAACCAAAAGCTTTGCCACAGCTTTGATCACCATATGCTGCATTTCCTTCAGTCACCTTATTTATACCCATTGCTTCCCTTTCCTTGATAGAATTTCCCCATAATCATATGGCCATGCATGGCGATACTTAGGGGCTTCAGAGGCAGGGCTCAACAGGTGAATATCACACTAACTACAACTGATCCGGCCAACTTAACCTTTTGAGCACGCGTGACGTTCTGACACGTCATTACCACTGCCACTGTGACACGCGTGACGTTCTAGAACGTCACGAGTCAGTACGGTACTACATCGATTCCGCGTTTCTTCCTTGGCGTGGCGTCGAGCTGTACCGCTGCACAGAGGACTCCTAGGATGTACGAGTACAGTAAAAAAATATGAGTCGCTCCGTAAGTTTGAACTGGAGTTACATGCGCGTGCATACTTTTCAAATACCGTAAAGTCGCGGATAAAAGCCGGGTTTGCATACAAGCACATCGCGGATAGAAGCCTGAAAATCAAACGGGTCAAATGCATATAAGCCTGTCGCGCGTAGAAGCCTGGTTTCGATGCAAGCGCGGATTGGGTAGGTCAAGAGTGCATGCGCTATGTACAGTGCATAATAAAACTGCCGCCATACCGGTAGTCAGTGGTAGATCTACGCGTGTCGCGCGTAGAAGCCTGGCTTCTATGCAAGCCCGGATTGGCCGATGTGCATACAAGCCTGGCAAAAATATCAGTGGTGCATATAAGCATGGTTTGCATTGAAGCCTGATGCAGAAAGCTGCTTATGTGCTTATAAGCCCGGCTTTTATCCGCGACTTTACGGTAACCAATTTCGCGTATAACTACCTTTCTGAAAAAAGTCATAACTTTTGTAATTTTTGTTGTATTTCCAAAACAAAAACAGTTCTGTGCTCAGGATACATGAAAAAATCGTTTGAAATTAAGTTTGCTTACATACAGTGAATTTAAAAAATTTACTGCATGGCAGAGGTTTTCAATGGGCCGGGCTCAAAAGGTTAACATGTCTAAGCATGCAATAAATACAGTTCATATACATCATACTACCGGCAGCTATTCACACTGTTGAATGCCTCCACCACTGTCAAATCACGCTACATAGATTGACAAGTGGTTCAGCCAACACAGTGGAGAGAGACATACGAATATCTACGTTCCACTTTTCTTTACATGTTCCTTAGAATATTGGGTTCAAAAACACATAGGTTAAAAAGAGTGAAAACGGGAAGAATGGTGTGGCCAAATAACCAACTACTGTATTTTCCCCATTAAACGTTCAAGTCTCCATTACTAGTACGTCCCCAATTGTAGTACATGTTGGGTGTGGATCGAAAATATAAAAGGACAAGTGTCTAACGAGAGAGCTTGGAAGCTCAGGGCGCTACGCTATGCTTTTTTGCCTTGATGACCTAGACAAAAAAAGCATAGGGATGTTTTAAAATCTTATAAATTTCTCCTTTTTTTTAAGACATAACCTGGGATTCGAACCCGCACTATCGCCCTGCATGCATCCCCCGATACACTTCGCATACATACTAATTCTTCCAAGTTGCTTCACGTTATGATCTTGCATTTGAAAGCCCTATTTGAATAATTATGCATTATGGCCAGCCGTCTTTGTCTTTGATGGTACGGTACGGGACAGGTACGGGGCAGGTACGGTCGAGGGTAATACGACACCGTCAAACGCCTTGATGACGGCAAAAAAAGAATAGGGATGTTATACATGTTTCAATTCTCCTATTTTTTTTTCAAGCATATCCTGGGATTCGAACCCGCACTATCGCCCTACATGCATTCCCCCATACACTTTGCATTCATACTCATTCTTCCAAGTTGCTTCACGTTATGATCTTGCGTTTGAAAGCCCTATTTGAATAGTGCGGCCAGCTGTATGTGGCCAGCTGTGTTTGATGGTACGGTACGGGACAGATACGGGATAGCGCCAGGCGTGACACAAACACACAAACAAATACCAAATTAAAGCTGTGTGGACCCTGGCTAGCGCCAGACGTTACTGAAATAACGTCTTCTGCATAGCTAGGGGAATAATAGTAAATGCCGGAATGATGCGATGGGCATTAGTGGGGTACAAATACCAGGGTCCACCTTATGTCATTTTTCTTACCCGTTTATCATATTTGTGTCTTGTACACTGATTCTTACCATGGTTGGGTGTATTTACAGCCTTACAGCATCATTATCACGAGTTGTTTGCCACCCAACCCAGGCAATCAATCTTTCTAGAAACAATAAAAGTACACGTCTCCAATACTAGTACAGTCTCCTATAGTAGTACAGGTCTGACCACCTTTGAAAAAATAAAAGTACTGTACATTTATTGGGGAAAATACGGTGCACTGGCCTCTACACCGCCGCAATACTGCACACACTGGGAGCGCTTGGTGTCAGTAAAGCCAATACATGATGATAATACCGATATGGGCTATCTAAACGGTAGGCATCATGTTTCATTGCAACAAGACAAGTTTCATGAGTAGCAATCTCACCATCTCCAGCTGGCGTTATTGTAAACATGGACCTCTGTTCCTGAAGAGGCAAATCAAACTGAATATAGGGCTGCTCTCCTGCAGCCAACACGCACGGCCACCCTGGACTTCCACTATAGACACGTAGTGGATCTTCCTGCGAGTAACGAAGGGTTGGTGCTTCAAACTTTAGCAGAAGACACTGCAAATAACAGAAAAAGGGAATTGCAAAAGACTATTCATTTTCGAATTATCAAAAAACAGTTTTCCACATCGGTATCATACTTCATAGAAGTTTATTGTAGGAACATTGTCTACACACAACTACACAGATACCAACAAACACCCACCCACACACATGTACACACACACCTCAGACCTCCTCAGATCTGCCCATCGCAGAAGCGATGATAGCGAACAGCTATGTTAGACATAGCAACTTGTGCTGGGATTACATCATTCAACAGCTTGCAAGGCTGATGAATTGACCGCCACTAATTTTAGACTGACACACACACACACACACACACACACACACACACACACATGCACACACACATGCACACACACACACATGCACACACACACACACACGCACCCAGAACGACACTATAATCATAAGGACTACCATCCAACATTCTCTCAGAAAAATATTGGATTCTTTTACCGTCCGTGCACGAGCATGCATGCTGGCGTCAGATTGTTCTTAGTGATCAATCAGGCAAATCAGGCAAATCAACAAAATCAAAAACAATTTTCGCATTGCCAAGATAAAAGACCTACCTCGTCATCTGCAGCAGGACCTGAAACCCCCAACAACATCAGCCACTGCCAGTGACTAAGATCATCAAACGCCAGGATGTTGGCATCCCTATAAAATCTTGGAACATTTTCAGGACGGCTGGCCTTAGTAGATCCTATTGTCGCCATGACCAGTGTGTTGTTTGCTTCCGACGCCGGGCTAGTTAAAACATGGAGCCATCTCGTGGATACAGGATTATGCTGAACGGAAGACACGGGAAAACAAACATCATGCCATAACTAACAGGTGCCTTAGCTATTGTGTGAGCAGGGTGTATCTATTGGGAAATCAGGTGGAAGAAGAAACTTTAGGGTGACAGGTCCAAAGAGTATTTGACCCTGTATCATAATTTAATGGTTTTTGTTTCATGCAAATTGGCAGAATTTTCATCAGGGGATGGATACACAGCAACGAGTTTAAATTACGATTATTGGGCTTTGTGTCTAGAACTGCAATGTACATACTCTTTCCATTTGTGCCATACTTCGGCAATCAGAGTTGAAATTTAAATGTACCCTGCGTGTATTCCCCGTCGCCCTCTCACTGAGTGTCAAAGGAAACAAAGAGCAGCAATGGCCTGATATGGTTCTACCGTAACTTCTACGCTACCAAACCTCTTCATCCGATTGTGGGGCTATTCCGTGACATTGTGGCTTATCTACCGCTCCGCAGCCAATGAAATATCATGGAAACATTCTTCATGAATTCATTCTCTGGTATTTTCTTTAGAATGGGAAGAATTTATTCTGACCCCCTTCCAAGGTATGAGTTCTTGATGGAAACAAAGAAGTTCCAAACGAACACTCCAGCTATAGAAAGGTGCTGAACAAACGCAACGTCAGTGGTGTAATTATCTGAGTGTGGTACAGAGTGAATGCTACTTTAACTGGTAATATCCAGGGTTCTAGGCAGGTCAAAACCGTAGGAGGTTGGGCATGGGAAACAGACACCCCTAACCCATTTTTCCATTTTCTAAAATTGTCTTGCCATGCAAATCGAAAAGTGCATGGTGAACCCCCGACTTCACCCCAGACAAATGTGCCTTTATGAACCCTTTGGTAATGGGTAACGACCGAATTTTCGTTGAGTGGCATGAAACCCCCCACAAATGAGCAGGGGGGGGGGGGGGGGCACTTTTTCACAGAGGGGTGCTCAATCAGAGTATGAGGGCGCTGTGCCCCCCTACCCTCCTTTGGCTAGAACCCTGCAATATCTGATAACAGCATGCATTACAGAGTGCTCTGACCAAGGCCATTCGGCTCCACTCCCCAATCTCCATCATACTACTAGTACAGGAGTCAGGACTGCTACTGGATGTATGCCAACTCGTCACCATTCGAGAAACGTATTTAAAGGGGAAGTATACCCTAAAATCAAATTTTCACCAGTTGTAGTCTTCGGGGTGCTGAATCGAATGGTCTTGGTCCGAGGAAGCTGAGACGCTCCCTTCCTACTTGAATCCCAATCGAACTCGCGCACTTCCACCGAAACTGGGTGACTGCGCCCTACTAGATGGGGATTTGTATGCAAAATGTCACTAAAAGCGCCATTTCGTTCTTATAAAAGCACGGATGACCGCGATTGGCCCATATGTTGTAGTCTTTTTGACGCTGAGTCGACTGGTTTTGGTCCGAAAAGGCTGCGATGCAGCGTTCCTCCTTTATTCCCAATCGAACATGGTTGAACAAGCGGTCACGTGCTCCTGCGTACACCAGTCACCTGGTCACCGTGCCTGCAGGGTACAACTTACTAGCCTGTTTGACCTTTTTTGGGTGCAGTCCTGTGACTCGAGTTGAACTCGAGTTGACCCTTGGTGTGAAAGTTGTCGCCTGCTGGCGCGGTGACCAGGTGATTTGGGCACCCAGGAGCACGTGACCGCTTGTTCAACCATGTTCGATTGGGAATAAAGGAGGAACGCTGCATCGCAGCCTTTTCGGACCAAAACCAGTCAACTCAGCGTCCAAAAGACTACAACATATGGGCCAATCGCGGTCATCCGTGCTTTTATAAGAACGAAATGGCGCTTTTAGTGACATTTTGCATACAAATCCCCATCTAGTAGGGCGCAGTCACCCAGTTTCGGTGGAAGTGCGCGAGTTCGATTGGGATTCAAGTAGGAAGGGAGCGTCGCAGCTTCCTCGGACCAAGACCATTCGACTCAGCACGCAGAAGACTACAACTGGTGAAAAATTTTTTTTATGGTATACTTCCCCTTTAATAGGCTGTGTATGTTCTATACCATACTCCACAGCGACTTACCAGCTGGTACAAAGGCGTATTGGAGGAGCATCTGAGCATGGGGCCAACACTCCGGCTTGAACTCTCTTCGCAGGGCCTTGGTGCACGCCGAGTGGCCAAGCTAGATGGTGATCTACTAACTTCGTCCATCAATTTTGTCTGCGTTTAACAGAGAAAACATCACACATGCTAGTCATGTATTTATAATTATGTAGGTAACGTAAAAACGGCATCGAAGACAATCGGATCGTACACGTAAACGAAGACGGATCGACCTAAGTCTAAGACATGAACTAAAAAAATTAATACTAGTATCTTGCACGAGGGATATTTAGGTCAGCTTTGTAGGATATCTATCCATTGTGACCCAACCATTCACTGTCCTCAGGTCGCCCAACCGAATAACGAACGTCGTCGTCCGGTGAACGAAGAAGAAAAAAATGTTCAAAAGGCCTAGGGACTTAGTATCCTTTCGTTCCGGTCTACTACGGACTTTGGACCGTCTGTGGGTCGCCCATTGCTACCTCCTTACCGTGGATTGCTAAACAGCTCGATTTCATTGTCATTTTTCACCAAGCAAACCTGCCACACAGCGCGTACAGACGCCATGTAACTGTGATCATTATCCTGTGCGCCATGAAACCATATCAATGCTGAGCATCAAATCATTGTACCTGCGCTCTAGTCTAGACTAGTACTGAGGCCATTGTCATTTTGATGATAATATTATTGTCATTACACACAGGTTGCCAGATTGCCCCAGAACAACGATGATAGGAATCCATAAGCGGGAGGCTACACTCAGTAATGGCCGTCGTTTGGGCCTTCTCCCACCTACTTCTCAATGTCTTTGATATACGGATAACATGGACTGTCGATAACACAGGAACTAAGTCTATCAAGTACATCTACTCGTAGAGTCGTACTGCCCAGCGAACAAACATTCGCGGTAAAAACGAGAGCTCCTTACCTGAACATCCGTCAACAGCCTTCATCACAGTACTGCGAAACATTTCGACCCCAGTCCTCTTTCTATTACTACTATACTAGGACTAGAACATCAGTCATCACCGTGATCACTGTCATCAGGCTTCTGTGTTTTCGCCCTTCGGAGTGGGGATCATCCGTAGGTAGCGGTGCAGCTCTCACACGAGTCTCAGTCTCACTTCTCAGTACAGACTAGTAGTAGTGTGCACCAGCTGGTGCGCACTGGCAGCCCCAGGAACACACGAGAATGGCCAAGAAGAACGCTACGTGTCACGTGCGTCAAGAAGAAGGGGTGCCTACCGGGTTACGTCGATCATGACGTAGTCATGACCTAATCTTCGAAGCTTCACCCATGGGCCATTGCCATTGGGCCATTGCTAGGCCTGTCCGAAAAATGTTCTGATTTTTTTTGCATTTTGGGTACATTTTGCGTTTTTGCATTTTTTCTGAATTTTGCCCATTTTCGTTCGAATTCCAAGGTTTCAGCCAAGGTTTCAGCTCGACCAAGTCAAGTTTGGCTTGCTATTTCGGTGTCTTCTGTCCCTCTTGGCTGAGACTCTAGACTTACTTTTGCACTGGCCTCCTAATCACACAAATGCGAACACATGGGTGTTTAGTTCTACATGTACATGCAGGTGTGATGATGTAAAACTACGAAGATGTGTTCTAGTAGTACATGTGTGGTACACATGGTACAGGTACTAGGTAGTATGCAAGGGTAACACAAGTGACTTGCAATGGTGAGAAAATGATTAGCTTTGCAGGCTTGCCAGGCAATGTCAGAATGGGTGACAAAATGGGTGACAAGAATCTTATGATCATGCAGTGCGTGTACATGTGACATGATTAGAGGTACATGTAGTGTACTAGCAAGGCAAGGATACTACAAGACTATACATGTACATGTGACATGGAAAACCATTATTATTTTTGTCATCACCATGGCATGGCGGCCATTTTAGATTCTGGTTGCCATGGCAACGGATGCATTTTCTCTGCGTTTTGGCCAATTTGGGTTGTTTGGCTTTGATTTTTTAATTTTTTTAACATTCCCCCTTGATTTCTTCTTTGAATGTTGGCTGGAAAACCGTGCATTTTGCATTTCCATTTTCCGCAAATTAAAACACATTTTTCGGACAGGCCTAGCCATTGCCCATTGGTAGGCTTGTCCACAAAATGTTTTCAATTATTTTTAAATTTTGGTTGGATTTTCGCACTTTGAATTTTTTTGGAATTTTGGCCCCATCAGGATTGAATTTTGGCCGTTTTTGGAGACGACAGTGAGGTCACATCAGGAGAGTACATGTGCTGCTCAATATAATTATTACCAAGTTTGACATGTGAAAACAGTACTTTCAAATACACACACCTTTGACCTTTAACCTTTTGACACCCATCCCCGAATTTGGAAGCACACAGACACACATGATAAACAGTTTGTGGATTTTTTTAGGTACGAATACTGTAAAAACCATGGCAACGGATCGAATTTTTTCTGCATTTTGGGGGATTTTTTGAATTTTCTTAAAACATTTTGACCGTTTTTTTCGCTTTTTGAATTTCAATTTTGGACAAAATAATTCGCATGATGTGGCCACCCTTACCCGGTACCCATTGGTCAGTTCTAAGCAGGGAGTAGTAAAATATTACGTATTTTACTACTCCCTGGTTTTAAGTGCTAGCGCCAAGTCCACAACTAATTAAAGGGGAAGTATACCCTAAAATCAATTTTTCACCAGGGCAGTTGTAGTCTTCTGGGTGCTGAGTCGAATGGTCTTGGTCCCAGGAAGCTGCGACGCTCCCTTCCTTCTTTTTTCCCAATCGAACCCGCGCACTTCCACCGAAACTGGGTGACTGCGCCCTACTAGATGGGGATTTGTATGCAAAATGTCACTAAAAGCGCCATTTCGTTCTTATAAAAGCACGGGTGACCGCGATTGGCCCATATGTTGTAGTCTTTTGGACGCTGAGTCGACTGGTTTTGGTCCGAAAAGGCTGCGATGCAGCGTTCCTCCTTTATTCCCAATCGAACATGGTTGAACAAGCGGTCACGTGCTCCTGGGTGCCCAAATCACCTGGTCACCACGCCAGCAGGCGACAACTAATACTTTCACACCAAGGTTCAACTCAAGTTCCACTCGAGTGGCAGGACTGCACCCAAAAAAGGTCAAACAGGCTAGTAAGTTGTACCCTGCAGGCACGGTGACCAGGTGACTGGTGTACGCAGGAGCACGTGACCACTTGTTCAACCATGTTCGATTGGGAATAAAGGAGGAACGCTGCATCGCAGCCTTTTCGGACCAAAACCAGTCGACTCAGCGTCCAAAAGACTACAACATATGGGCCAATCGTGGTCGTCCGTGCTTTTATAAGAACGAAATGGCGCTTTTAGTGACATTTTGCATACAAATCCCCATCTAGTAGGGCGCAGTCACCCAGTTTCGGTGGAAGTGCGCGAGTTCGATTGGGAATAAAGGAGGATGGGAGCGTCTCAGCTTCCTCGGACCAAGACCATTCGACTCAGCACCCCGAAGACTACAACTGGTGAAAGTTTGATTTTAGGGTATAATAATAGTACAGCACGCATATAGCTCATATGAAAAATCAAATGAGGGTCATGCATCTGTCGACAACGTCGAGCCAGTGCGTTCTGTCTGAGGCAAGTTGCTCCGCTTCCAAAAGAGACATATTGAGAAGTAAAAGGTCATTCCTAATGTTGTCTACCCATCTGGTCACTGGGCGACCTCTGGGCTTCTTTATATCTGTTATATTCATTGCCATGTGAAGGGCTTTGTACGACACAGCGTCCTTCCCTTCACGAATGACATGTCCAAACCATAATAAGCGCCGGCGTCTACAGACTGCACTTATTGGGCATTGAGCAGTTTTAGCATAAAGAGCATTATTCGAAATTTTATTGGGAAAGATGATTCCAAGTATGTATCTGAGTTTACGGCGGTGCCATACATCAATTTTGCTTTCTAAGGCTTTTGTTAGAGTCCATAGGGTATACTTCCCCTTTAAATTATTTGCTAATTCGACAAGTCATGACCTAACGAGAGAGCTTGGAAGCTCAGTGCCCTACGCTATGCTTTCTTGCCTTGATGACCTAGACAAACAAAAGCATAGGGATGTTATAAATTCTTTAAAAAATTCCATTTTTGTAAAAACATAACCTGGGATTCGAACCCGCACTATCGCGCCCTGCATGCATCCCCCGGTCTTTGAAAAATTCCTTTTTTTAAGACATAACCTGGGATTCGAACCCGCACTATCGCGCCCTGCGTGCATCCCCCGGTCTTTGAAAAATTCCTTTTTGTTAAAAGACATAACCTGGGATTCAAACCCGCACTATCGCGCCCTGCATGCATCCCCGGTCTTTAAAAATTCCTATTTTTTAAGGCATAACCTGGGATTCGAACCCGCACTATCGCGCCCTGCATGCTGCATGCATCCCCCGATACACTTCGTATACATACTAGTACTTATTCCTCCAAGTTGCTTCACATTATGATCTTGCATTTGAAAGCCCTATTTGAATATGCATTGTGGCCAGCCGTCTTTGCTGGTAAGGTACGGTAGGGATAGGTACGGGACAGGTACGATCGAGGGTCATACGACACCGTCTCCCGTACTGTACCATCAAACACAGCTGGCCACATACAGCTGCCCGCAATATTCAAATAGGGCTTTCAAACGCAAGATCATAACGTGAAGCAACTTGGATGAATGGGTATGAATGCGAAGTGTATGGGGGAATGCATGTAGGGCGATAGTGCGGGTTCGAATCCCAGGATATGCCTGAAAAAAAATAGGAGAATTAAAAAATTTATAACATCCCTATGATTTTTTGCCGTCAGATACGGGATAGCGCCAGGCGTGACACAAACAAACAAACACACAAACAAACAAATACCAAATTAAAGCTGTGTGGACCCTGGCTAGCGCCAGACGTTACTGAAGTAACGTCTTCTGCATAGCTACGGGAATAAAGTATACAATACAATACAATACAATACATCAGGGAGTCGTATACATAATACGACGATTATTGGTACGGTACGGGACAGATACAGGAGCCCGCAAATATTGTGGACAGCTGTTATGTACAATCCTGTAGAGCCTTTGTAGTCACAGATACGGGACAGATACGGGACAGATACGGGATAGCTCCAGGCGTGACACAAACAAACAAACACACAAACAAACACCAAATTAAAGCTGTGTGGACCCTGGCTAGCGCCAGACGTTACTGAAGTAACGTCTTCTGCATAGCTACGGGAATAATCATGATAATTGTCTTCATGCAGCCAATGGCACCCATTGCCCAAGGCATTGGCATTGGTCAGTTCTGTGCTAGCGCCAAGTAGACGTGCGCTGCATGTGCGTGTGCATGGTGTGTACATGTACGTCTGGGCAATGGATTATCATACGGCTCGCCATCCGGGTCATGTCAGGACAGATATGTACATGTTGACAGTAGAACAGGACGTTAGGACTCAGGAGGCTTCTAAACCGGTTGCTGAGTATAATACGACTCCCTTTTTACTGCTTCATATCTAGATCTACCTGTACATAGATGATCAGCACGTGAGGCTACACGCGAATACGAAGATCAGTTAGTGTTACTGATCTTAATGTACTCTGTACATCATTACAAACATAACCCCCATGTACTCTTGGTACTATCTACATGTACAATGCCATGCTAGTACATGATGTAGTACTAGTAGTATACATGTACATGTGCACTCTTATGTAGTGGAACCAGGGAGTCGAATAGACCTCCCTGAGCTGAGTGGAATGAGTTGCCGTAATCATTCATGGCCAGTAATGGTCCTTCGAAAGTCTTGTGGCTTGTGACTGATCTTGATTGCAGCAAA